TAGACAAATTAATATGGACTCCAGGAGCCAGCAGGATATTTTAGGAGCCAGCTCCATTGACGGCAACTAGACAAGACCTTAAAAAGTTAGGGGCCAGCTGTAATTTTTAGGAGCATTGGATACCTGGCTCTTGGAATTTGTCCAATATATATTTACACATTTATGGATGATAATAAGCACAGTGATAATGTACCCTCCTCACACAAGTAACTCAACATAAAAAAAAGAGCAAAAATATCCTTTCCAATCCTTTTGCACCAAATTTCAAGCAGAGCTCCATAATGCTAGGCTTGGTTTAATGAATGCATTGATGCATAGTAGGACCACTAGAGGTGTTTAATGTGAAATGAAGCTGAATTGCACGTTAACTTTAGTTCAGTATTTTATGAATAATTTTACCAAATATTTTCAAAGGAGATGTTAATTCTGAGTTTACATTAGTACTGTAACCTTATTTAAGTATTTAAGATTACAATCCATCATATTCTTATGTCCTGTTTTGATCCTCAAAATCAGTATAATACCAAAATTTGTCTGCTGTCTCATTATAATAAAGTCTTATCATGGGGTAGATTTGATCCTGTATAAAATAGTCCTTTTGTAAACCCTGCAGGACCCCAAAGGGGGAATGGGTGTATATTATTTTTTTTCTATTTTGTATAGCAATACTACATTGATTCTCGCTGTGACAAGGGCGGCTAGTTAAACTTTCTGACAAATGGTATATTTTGCTCATCCCAGAGCGGTGTGGTAACACCCCTTTGTTTACTACTGTTTGATGACTTCTCTGCAAAAGCCTTGCCCTGTGATTTGCTTTGCACAGTCTGCTGCATCCATCTGAGGTGTAGAGAATTGGCTGAAAGATTCAGTATCTGGATTACTTTATTGTTTCTCAGCTCCTGGTGCTTACTCAGTCATTGGTTAAAATCGGAACACGTTTGTGCTAGGCCTTTAGAAAATGGTAAACCGCTGTTTAAAATTTAGCTTTAAAATACTTTGCTAGTAGACCTAATCACAGTGTTTCTAATTGCCTTTGTACACAATTGATTATTTAAATACCCCGTGACGTTTAATGAAATTCTCGGTACGACCCTAGAATAATTTACATTAAGCCTCCTCTTGAAAGTGATGTATTATTCTAGTGCCAAAAAGATGGTTGATTTCAGTAGTGGGGATAGGGTTAAATTAATCATACAATGTACTGATAGCTATGAGCAGGATGCAGAAGGAATTCAGTGTAAGGCTATGTTTAATCCTAGCACCAGAGGCCCTAGAATGAAACTGTTGACAGCTCTGGCAGTCTAGTGGTTAAGCTTGACTCTGGCCCCCAAGGCTTGTTTTTTTTTCCTGAGCCTATACGCTAGGATTGAAATCCTGTCATTGTTCAGTAACTTCTGGAAATTGCTAGATTGAGTGTCTCTACTTTTTTTTTTTTTTCCTTCTCCTATACAGTCTTAAAAGACCGTTTTAGCAGGAATCTGATTTGTTTACTGTAGCACCATTCCTGTGAATTTAGCAGGATCTGCTAAAGCTATTGCACTGCCACTCTCTGTTTACACGGAAATTTCTGGCCTTTTCTGTGACTGCTTCTGTCTGTTTTATGTTTGGTCAATGGAGAGCCTTCCTTGATTAATAGTGAAGAGAAAGGCTTCATTCCAATGCCTCGTCCCACTCCCCCCTTAGACACTAAATCAAAATTGAGATGTGCATATCTAAATCTGAACAGTATCTGAAGTTCCGTACACATGGCTTGTGAGCTGAATTGAAGCGGATGGCTAGGGGAAATAGGATCAGCTGGTGATGGGGTAGGGCTATTCTTACCACAACTGTCTGCATTGCACAAATTTTTCAGGCTGGGTAAAGGTGTTGAAACAAATAGTTTGATCATCTCCACCACGTTCTGATGATGGGGTATTACATCAACAATCTAATGCTCAGATGAAGCTGATTTTTATTCTTTAGGCGCACCTTCTTAACATTTAAGTAACTTTTCATAATTCTTTCTGCTTTACAATCGGATGCCGATGGTTTCCTACCTGTTAACCACAATGTAAAAACTACAGGACGCATTTTATTCTAGCCTAGTATGATCTCAGATCTCATTTTATTCACGCTGGTTACCAAATCACATTTTTTTATTTTTTTTTATGCAGTATTGTGTACAGGCATTTCTTGCAGCAATCAGTGGGAATTACTTGTCTCCCATCCAATCTGCAAGAGAGACAAAGCCCCCTTTGAAATACATGCCTCCTTAAACACCAGCCATTGGACAGTTTGTATGGCGGATGGATTTATTGTTAATCTATGTTGAGATAAACCTGCTAATACAAATGTGATGAAACATCAAATCTCTTTCAAGCCAAACCATTGTTTGTTGTTGCACAAAAAATGCACGGGTGTGATGTCTATGGGAAAGGGGAGGGGGATGTCAAAATTTGTACTTTCTTAATATTATTTTGCTTTACACACTGATGCTTTTACATTGACATACCTATATTTTATTCAGAGTTTTAAATGATGATGTAAATGCTTTGTACATGACTTGTATTATATTGTTGGTTGATGACTTTGCCAATTAAAAAAAAAAAAAAAAATCTATTGAGATAAAACCAAAACAAAAAACGTATTTTGCTTGAATATTTCATTGTAGATTTCATGTCTTAGATAATACTGCAAAAGCTAAAAAATATATATTTTGCATATCTATTACAGCATATGTGTGGTTTTATTTTCAACTTGGGGGGGGGGATGACAGTTGTGACCTGAAGTTAGGAAAAACAAACCGCTTGACTAGACTGTTGCAAAAGATGCAACTTTCAGAAGACTGTGCACATTTTGCTCTCCTTCCTTCCTCTGTTATATCAATACTGCCTCGTCAGAGTTACCTGCACTATGCTTTGGCTTATTTCGCATTCATTGAACGTAAACTGAGTTTAAGGACAAGCAGGAGACCAAATGAAAGCATGCAGGCTGTCGGTGTATGTACTTTAGGGAAAGGATTGTGAATTTTGTTTACAACATCCGATATTTGGATTTGTTTTGTAAATAAAAAGTTATTTTTTTCTATTAAATTTGGTGTATTATGTCTTTAGTTGAACACAGTATGCATACAAATTCATGGACATGCAGTCATTCTGAGAATAGTCTAGTTCATTAGCTTCCTGGTGGGAGCTCAAAAATTTTAATCCCTTTTTTTTTTTATGTGTGCAGTCAACAAGGAAAGGGCCTAGCTGAAACTGAGACATGCCAAAAATACTTGGCTCTGTACCCACTTAGCAACGTAGATAACCTAAAAACAACATTTCTGTTCTCACACTTAAAGCCAGCCGTTTCACAGTCATAGTTATATCCATTCTGCTGTATTAAATTCTATGGTGGGAATGGATCAAAACTGGAGCAGGCAGAATCTGGAGTAGTTGCCTATAGCAACCAATCATCTCTCATGTGTTTGTTCAGTTACGCTTTGAAGATGAAAGAAAGAAGCTGATTGGCTGCCATGCACAACTGCTCCACCTTCTGTCTCCTCCAGTTTAGATAAATTCCACTCTACCTATATCAGACCCAACAGATATCAAGTTAACACTTTAATTTCTAGTTAGTAAAAAAGAAGAGGCATGCTTGTAGTTGTAGATAGTTAGATATTTCATTATTTGCATAGCACCATTCCCTTAGGCAGAGTTCTATTTGAGAAGTAGACCCTTTGTTCCTTTTTACTGATTTATTCCTACTCATATAAAGGTGGACCTTAAAAATTATTGTAATTAGGTCATGGACACATCATGTTGTGTAGGGATCACTTTTGTGCCCAAAACGTCTGGTTAAAAGTTTGTTGCAGTTCAGCTTAAGGTATTGGTCCCTGGCTCGCTGTTTCTGCTAGCTATCAAGAGAGGTGAAAAACACCAGTACCAGGACGTGTTGGTTGATGACAGCAAGATTACACTGTGGTGGTCCTTCTGTTTTATAAATATAATAATATGAAAATATATATTTCCTGTAGGCCCAGGTTTTTGCATTGCAAACCATTATTCAGATGGTACACTTTAGGGCTCAAGCATGAAAATTGGGCTAAAAAGAACATTTCTTGTTGCCCGTAGCTACCAATCAGCATTGAGCTATCATTTCTATAGTTTGGTTGGAAAAATAAAAGAATTCTAAATGGTTGCTACAGGCAACAATAAAATATTTTGCAGGGCACGTTTTTTCATACATGAACTCCATTACATCTCTGTGTTGAATTTTAGTCTGCTGAGTGAACGTGGAAACAGTGCTAAAGCCCTGTTGCTTACAAAA